TGCAGCAGCACGGCTCGGATGCAGCAGCACGGCTCGGATGCAGCAGCATGGCTCGGAAGCAGCAGCATGGCTTGGATGCAGCAGCATGGCTCAGAAGCAGCAGCATGGCTCCGATGCAGCAGCATGGCTCGGATGCAGCAGCATGGCTCGGATGCAGCAGCATGGCTCGGATGCAGCAGCATGGCTCGGATGCAGCAGCACGGCTCGGAATCAACAGCATGGCTCGGAAGCCGCAGCATGGTTCGGAAGCAGCAGCATGGCTCGGAAGCAGCAGCATGGCAGCAGGTGCAGCAGCATGGTAGTAGATGCAGCAGCAGTGCAGCCACAGTCTCCCAGGTCCACTTGTGCACGATGGGCTCCTGGGCTGCCAGAGCTGCAGGTTCCGTTCATTCAGTCAGGCGTTGTAGTCACAAAGAGAATGCATTCAGCATGGTATTGATTTAATATTGTATGGTACTTACTAGCGGGACTCAGCAATTATTCTTTTTGCACGACTCTCATTACATCAACTCTCTGACTTCCATCACTTTTTTTTTTTTTTTCTCATCCAGCTACTTGTCCACTGACCTAAGCTGAGTTCCTATCACAGAATGTGATAAACTAGTTCTTAATTACCAATAGAAGAAATGGTTTGATTGAGCAAGGAGGCGATATGGCCACATGTGTAAAGGAGGTGAAGGTGGCCATAGGGAGCTGTTTATCAACCAGTCAATATTTAGCTGCTAGTGTTCAGCGTCACTAATAGCATGAATTGCTAAAGAATCTTGCAGAGCCACCACTAGAAGGTACACACGATCAAAGCAAGGCAAACGAGGTGTCATGTCACACTGTCCTCTCCAATCTTCCACCGTTCCTAGAAGTTGGGCTCAGAGTCTCAAGCCAGCCCAGCCAGTCCAGCACGCAGGATTCCAGCATTCTAGCACTGCCCTGGCTACCATAACTCAACTCCCATTCCACGCCCCACATGCCCGCACCCTGAGGGCCTTGTTGTACACAGGACACACCAGCAAAAAGGATTCTCCCCGTCCAGCCTCACCACATCACTAGTAAATGCTGACCGACGTCCCACGTTCACCCGCCTTCTCCAGTCCTTCCTCTCACCAGCGGCCTACCATCAATGCATCCGCTCTCCAGACATAGAAACCTGGAGATTTCGTCTGCATCGTCAAGAAAGGCTGGGCACGCCATGACCTCGAGGCTCCTGAGGCTGCTGACATGCTGATAGATGCTGCGCAAGGATCGCAGGTCGGGGCAGGAACACATCGTCAGCCGCTGCAACCTTTTAAATTTAATCACCTCAAAAGCGCATGAAGTCAGGCAGGGAATGCCAAACAGTGAGAGCGTTGACAGGCTCTCAAGCCTGCCGAGGGACCACATGAAGCCATCAACAAAATGTGTCGCATCCACTGCATTCCCAGCCGGGCAGCTAGTTGGCCATCCAAACTCTAGCGTTGTGAGGCTGGACCTCCAGTTCCGGAATAGGATTCGTGGAACCCTGGTAACGCTGTTGCAATGATTGAAGGAGAAGGTTTGAACTTTGGAGAGGCTGGAAATGGAATCAGGAAGTCGAGTGAGGCTACTGAGTTGCCACAACTCCAAATGCTGCAGAGATGAGAAGCAATCTATGGATTCTGGAAGTTCCCTGAGCTTAATGCACATCTTGATGGTAAGGCTCTCGAGAGAAATAAGATTAGAAATGGCGCTAGGGAGACTTTGCAACTCTTCGAATTCCGTTAGCTCAAGGACACGCAGCGCAGTAAGCAGGAAGAACGAATCTGGGAGGCCGGAGAGGAAGGGGTTGCCCTTCAAGAAGCACTCTTGAAGGTTCTGAAGCTGGCCAATGCTGTCCGGAATATCCTCCAGCTGCTCTGCAGAGGATACGACGAGTTCGATGAGCGAATTGAGGCCTCCAAAGACTCGGGCAAGTGCTCGAATCCGTTGCAGCGTAATATTTGCAGCTCGGTCAGCCCCGTGAGAAGGCCAAACGATTCTGGGAGCTCACTGAACTGAAGCTCGTCGAAGGTCAGCTTCTTCAAGCATATCAGCTTGCCGATTTCATCAGGAATGTCATAAGGGAGGGCTTTCAAATAAAGATCCTTTAGGAAAGACAGACGGAAGAACGATGGTGGGAAATCTGTGGGAGATGCATCAAAGGCTAGTGAGAGATGCTCTAACCCCGTGCAAGCAGTAAAGAGTGCATCCAAATCATCCCGAGTCACAGCGTCTTCCTGCTGGCTTCTGAGGTCAAGATGAGTCAACGATGGACATGCGAATCCGAGGCCTAAGAGAAACTCGCACTCGTCATCAATATCGCAATCGCATATTTTCAGAGATGTCAGTTTCGTGAACTTCGACAAGTATTCAAGAAGGTCAGCGTCGGCTTGAATTACATCATCCCCACGGGAGCGCATGGAGATGGACGTTTGGGTAGGATAAGTGAGGTGACGCCATCTCTTGCAGACCAAGACGTGGTTCAAGCTACCAAGGGACTGCTGGCCTAGCAGACGAAAGATGATGCAGAGGAGATCATCTGATAAGCGATCGAACGGCGACGACCACGCGGAACGACACAGCGATAGGTCTTCGAACGAAGACATAGCTCACACAGCAAGAGCAGAACCTAAGGAGGAGGGAAAGGCGGTATGGAGCGATAACGTGAGGGATGAAAGGAAAACGAGAATCGACGACTTCCTGCTGGTTTGGGTTATGTATTTCAACTGACCTCTCGCCTGAAGAGTCTTTGGGTCCGCAGACGAATGACTGGATAAGCAGGAGGCTCCTGAAATTTGGCGCGCTCAACTTCAAAAAGGCGTTATTTTTTCAGGTCTGGCCAGGCCTGAAGAGAAACTGCCTTCAGGGCAGTGATTCAGAGCGGGAGCAAAAAATCTGGAACCGATGCGGGTCAGAATGACACACGGAATAGGCTTGCATGGCATTTAGGTGAACGAATGTGGTGGTTTGCTGAGCGTCCTAAAACATAGATCTGAGCTTTCCAAGGCGCTGCGGCAACGGTTCTTGAGGACCCCCTAGGGTTGTGTTGCAAATGGGACAATCTGATTGATGGCGTGGCGACCAACGAGCTCTTGAGAGGGTGACGGGTACAAGGAGGATTGCGATGAGGCTGAAAACGGTTTGGAGAATTCGTACCTTACAATGTTCTATGGTATGTTAAAATTCGTAGTAAAGAGTGCTCTAAATTACAAACAACGTATTAGTGGCTGGATGAACTGGGCAGACAACAAAAGCTTGCGCAAATATAGAAAAGGAACCTAAAAATGAACCTTTACCAGGCCCTACGATATCAGGAATTTTTTCCTGAAATTCCTGATTTTCAGGGATTTTTTTGTACCTACACTGATTTTTCAGTGTTGAGAATTTTGTGACACTGATTTTTCAGCCTTTATTTCATGGTTGACACTGATTTTTCAGTCTTTTATCGAAGTGTACACTGAATGCACATTCCGAATCCTTCCTGTCAACCAACATTTTCTGATTTCTCACGTACGAGAACGTAAGAGATTGAAGGTTTAGTGGATCAACTGTCTCAGTGGTTTGTGATTTTCTACAGACGGGTAAGGGCCCGGTTCGAATCCCTCCGCTGTCATGTTTCGTAAAGCCTACCCTCGTATACAAGGTTTTCATTTGCTTGAAAATTCAGGCTGTGTTTTTTAGGAACCCTGAAAATTCAGGGTTTTTTTTTTAGGAACACTGAAAATCAGGGTTTTGTTCACAGGGACCCTGATGCATCAACGTCCCTTAAAGTGAATCTGAGGGCCTGACTTTTACCAGCCTAACAGCTGGCCATGCCAGGTTATACCCTGTTTGTCTAGGACCATCAAAATCCAATGTACACCCAAGAGCTAATAACCAGGAGGCATTGATTGCGAGTGTTATCACGGTATGGTACACCATTCCCTCGTCACTAATTGCATGGCCCTTGCCAGCAGAGGGTCAGGCAGCAGGCCCAGTGACGGGTTGGTTTGGTGTGCACCTTGAGGGGGTCTATCCCCTGCTGCGCCAACCACTCCACTGCACCCCACTGCTCCTGCCTGACTGCGTCGTGCAGAGGCGTCCCTGGGAGGGTGGCATACGGGGGGAGTGGTGCAATGGAGGAGCAGGCATGACCGAAGGAATCGAGGGGAGGAGAGGGGGGAGGGAGGGAAAAATAGTGCGCAGAGGAAGGTGGTAGGGACAACACAACAGCAGATGCTTCTCTGTACACTCACAGCATTTGTTAGTCTTAGCAAGGATGTCAGCACCGTAACGTTTCAGCACTTGCATGCAATGCACGTGGCCCCCCCATGCTGCTCGGTGCATTGGTGTGCTTCGGTTGTTGGTGCGCACTCCAGCCGGCATGCCCAGCGCCAATAGCGCGTGCACCTGCAGTGGCACGAAAAGGGGAAGAAGAAACAAGAGTATGGGGAGGAGCAAACCAAAGGAAGGTCAGTGTGAGCCTGGAACATGCAGGCAGGGCATACATACGGGATACTGCGATTGTACAAAGCCCTCTCCTTCCCCTATCCCTGTGCCCGAGCTATGGGCAGAGGGGAATGCCATAGCAGCGAAGGCCAGGAAGCAAAAGGTTGTGCACCCCAGAGAGCGATGAAGGGACGAGGCACAGAGGTGAGAGCGAGAGAGACGGTGAAAGAGAGAGGATATAAAAAGGCAGGCTGAAGGAGAGGAGGAGGAGGGAAGAGGAAGAAAGTCGACAATAAGTCGAGAGACACACAGAAAACCCACCACAAGTAAATTCTCGTCGCAAGGCGCTATTGCTCCTCTCCTCTCATCCGATGGCATCCAAGTGCCTTGCGACAACATCAACCCCCCGTCGCTTCAACACGATATTCAGCTCCTCCACATCCTCATCCGTCAGACCAGGCCCATCTGTAGCAGCCTCTGCATCAGCCAATCCGCGCGCACTTGCAAACGACACACCCTGCGGGGTCCCGCTCGCCTTCCTCGCCGGATGTCTTGACGCTCTCTCGGACACGAATGAGATGATGTCCCTGAGAAGCGTTATGTCGACCAGCTTCGAAGCGGATGAGCGTGACGCAGCACAGGGGCGTGCCAAGGAGGGGGGTGTGCTCAGGTAGTGATGTGCCGGGTGTCGGACTGTCAAAATGCGGGGTGCTGGGGAGAGGGGCGCTGTGAATTGGGGGGAAGCAGAGAGCTGTGAAGACGAGCCAGGGGGACTGTGAAGACGAGCCAGGGGGACTGTGAAGACGAGCCAGGGGGACTGTGAAGACGAGCCAGGGGGACTGTGAAGACGAGCCAGGGGGACTATGAAGACGAGCCAGGGGGACTGCTACCAGGGGGACTGCTACCAGGGGGACTGCTACCAGGGGGACTGCTACCAGGGGGACTGCTACCAGGGGGACTGCTACCAGGGGGACTGCTACCAGGGGGACTGCTACCACAAGTGCGTGACGGCAGCAGGCCAGGCGAGGCGCGCGCAGGAATGGTGTCCGGGCCGACAGATGCAACAGTGGGCAACAGAGCAGCGACAGCAGAACAGGAAGCAGAGCGTGCGGAGGCAGAGGCAGCAGGAGAGCGGTGGGGTGGCGGCAGAGTTGAATCAGCGATGTAGACGAGAGTGAGTGGCTGAGAGTGAGGGTCTGGTTTGCAAGTAATGAGGGGAGAAGTGGTGACGGAGACTGGGGCTGTGTGCGCCGCCTGGGCTGCTGACTAACGACGAGTGACACTGGCGCTCCGATGGTGGCTGTGGCAGTACTCCCACGTCCTGATGGCTGGCAGCTGACAGGCGGATGGATGGGCAGCACGGATGAGATGGGATGGGATGGACACAGAAGAGAAAAGGGAACAGGGAATAGAGAAAAGGAAGTTGAAGGCGGGATGAGGGAGGTGGGAGAGAAGACAGCGGCGCCACAGAAACGGGAGGGAGGGTGGGGAGGGCAGAGCGAGTGGGGAGGGCAGAACGAGTGGGGAGGCACAGCGAGTGGGGAATGCACAGAGAGCGGGGAGGGCACGGCATACCTTGTCGCCTTGCAAATTGGTTTGACTGGAGAGCACACCCAGGTGGGTGGCACGGCAGGCGTGGTGCAGGCTGGCAGCCGCGCTAGCAGAGAGCCCCGGCAGCAAGTGGGGCGCTACAGTGACCGCCACCGTCCTTGCTGCGTGGCTCTGCTCCTGGATGCTCTTCCAGTCCGCGGAGGAGTTGGCTCGCCCGCTGCTGCACTCCCTCAAACAGAACATGTCTGCCATGGGGGCAGTGGGTGGCATGGCATGGGGGTGCGCATAGGGGAGAAGGGGATGGGCGGGAAGGGCATCACGGGGTTGCCATGGGGGGGTGAGCATGGGGAGTAGGTTAGCAGGGGCGGGCATGGCATGGCTCAAGCGTGTGGAGGTGAGGTGAGTGCCATGGAGGGAGCATGGGGGTGGGTGGGAGTGGGCGTTGGGCAAGGGGGTTGGGCAGGGGTGGCGAGAGCGTGTGGAGACGAGTGCTATGTGCCATGGATGCCCAGCCACGCAGCTCCGCTGAGGTCACGTGGGCTCGCAGCAGCCGACACGACAGCCAGCCTTACCACGTCGCACGCGTTCGCCTGAACCACCCACCCACTCTCTCACACGCTTATCGCCTCCGGTCTCCCCCAACCACGCCCGTGCACCCCCGGGCTCACCGCGCATCTGCAGAGACTCCGCGGCGGACGGCATGGCGCGAACGAGGAGGAAGCCGAACGCCTCTTGCGGCGTGCGCCCGTGGGATTCGCGCCAGTCGCGCATGGCGTTGCCGACGAACAGACACGGCGCGATGGCGTCGAGCCGCTGCTGCTCTGTTGTCGCCCGATGTAAGTCGCGCGCGAGGCGAGCAAAGAGGCCCTCAACACCATCATCGTCGGCTGCTGCTGATGGTTTTGCTGCTGCTGCTAGGGGTGGAGCTCCATGGGACTCGCTTTGAAGCGCCTCACGTGCCTTAGAATCATGATCATGATCAGCAGCTGCTGCGTCGTCGAAACCAAGGCTCGCGAATTGATGATGCAGGGTGGCCATCGGCGCGCATCCGCCGTCGTCTCCGTGCCGCAACACTTTCGCCAAACCAAGTCAGGCACCAGCTTTTCGCCTCCACTCGCCGCAACTCTCGGCGATGAACGCGGCAATAGTACTACGCTACTCGTATGCGCTGACGCCACTGCCAGTAGTACTCGCGGGTTTGTTGCAAAACACCGACTCGGTGGCAGAAACCAGGCCAGTCCGCATTGCTCGGGAGAACGGGCAGGAGGTGACAATTCATTATGCATCGTGCCGGAGGTTCCTGGGAGCTGGCGACCATCGGCTGGCGACCATCGGCTGGCGACCATCGGCTGGCGATCATCGGCTGGCGACCATCGGCTGGCGAGCGACGTCACCCACGGTGGGTCACAAGCCATCCCCCAACGCGCCTATGGCTTACTGCACACAGGGACGTCCCGTCCCACCGTAATCTCCAGCCTTGGGCATCTCAGCTCGGCCGAGCGGCGTCGCGGGTTGCGCGCATGCAGGCAACCACCGCCATGCTCACCGCTGAGATTCCCGCGGAGCAAGGCTGCGCGGGGGACGCGGCGCGCGATGGGCATGATGGCCTGCGATGCGACGTAGTGGCTGAGTCCAGTCCAGGCGCGTCGCCTGCGAGGATTTCAGAGACAGAGAGGTACGAAAGAAGGAAAACCGAGATGAAGACTACTTGTCTCGGCATTCCGATATGCTGCGCCATGATGTGGATATGACGGGTTGGCTTCTATGGGGATCAAACAACGTCGAGTTGAGCGGGGATGAATGTGGTGGTGGCGCATCGGTTTGACGTCGTTAAGAAAAGCCCCAATAGAAATAGTAGGTATTTTCAAAAACATTGGTTAGGGAATAATGCAAGAGAGAATTACTGACGGCCGGGAGTGGCGATAAATTCCACTGGTCTTGCACGGCCGGGAGTTTGCGTTTGGGTAATGCCAATACATCACAAACACATAAAGGGAATCCAAATTGTTGCTCTCTGATTCCTGGCCCATTCCATGTTACACACGCACTTGCAGAGTATTTGGTCCTCCCGGATCCTGCAAGTGGCCCATGCATGGGGGGGAGGCAGTGGCACGGAGGGGGAAATGACAGCAGAAGATTGCCTGGGCAATGAGAAGGTGACTGAACAAATGAAAAAAAGGGGAAGTTCACTTGAAAACTGGCAATAGCATGGTGACGTGAATATGGTTATAGGATGAGAAAATGAAGCATTGGAAAAGTGGCAATCGAACATGGGCTTCAGAAATGGCAATACAAGCAGAGTCAGAACTTGACAATGGAGGGTGACACGCAGCTGGGAAGATGAACATGAGATTGCGTGAAAGAATGAAGTATTGGAAAAGTTGCGTGGAGAACGGCTTTGGGAAGTTGGCGGCTGGAAAGTGGAATGGAAAACATGAGACAGAAAAAAAAAAAAGCATGAGCAGACCCACAACAACTGACAATCGAGGTGACTGGAGAAGTAAAAACAAACACCTGACTCGGAAAATGGAGGTTGGGATTGAACAAGAAATATGACACCGGGAATTAGGCCATGTAAGTGGGAATGGCAAGATTGGAAAAACGATCTTAATAAGTTGAAGGCAAGAATAAAGCAAGTATGAATTCAAAGCGTACAACTGACAATGCAAAAAAAAGTGTTTGGAAGATGAATGTGGTGAACATGAAAAAAAGGGCACTGGGTAGAATGAGGATGGGAGGCAACAAAATAACGTGTGCAAGCTGCACAACATTCCTCATCTTCCCTGCCCTGCTTGAATCCCCCATCCCCCCTCTCCCCTCCCTTTCCAACACCCTTCCGCGATTGAAAAGATGGCTGTGGAAGAATGGCATGGCATATGAGAGCATGGCATTGGAATAACGCCAATGAGCATGGCTGACATGCATTAGCTGCTGACATGCATTAGCTGCTGACATGCATTGGGTGGTATGGTTGGAGCATGGGTAAGGCATGCAGAGGGGATGGGGGAGGTGGGCACAAGGACGGGGGTGGGCGACGGCAGGTGGCAGGGATGAGAGGGTGCGTGTGTGGAGGAACATGCGATGTTGGCGAAGAGATGGGTAGTGGGATGGGATGATGGGCACGTGGATGGGTCGAGTCTGTAGTGGACGTGCACGAACGAGGGACCAATGTCAAGATGAAAATCACCGTGGGAATCTGACAGGACAACAAATGTAACTGTGAAGTGAAGCTCACTGGAAAATATCAAGCAATCAAATGGAAATTTGGCAAATGCTCTAATTGAACATATGGTGCCTGGCAGATGTCTACGTGAGTTTTCTGGCCAGAATAAAAGAAAATGAGATGAAAAATGGCAATGGCAAGTTGACTGAACAAACAAAAGATGGAAAGTGAACAGAGAGAACGGAAATTGAGAACCGGGCAGGATTATGCTAAGTTGACTGGTCAAAAGAATTGGGGAATTGGCATGGAAAATGTCAACGGAATAGGAAAAATGACAGGTGAAAATGAGAATATGGCAATGTGATGGGATGTATAGCAGAAAATGTTAATGGGAAGTGGCTAGAAAAAGAAGAATAGAAAACAAGATGCGAATTATGGAGTTCCCCTTGCATCGGTGCCTTGGCATGTGTGCTCCCAAACACCACAGCAGCGAATCGATTAGGGAGACCTCATTTCATCTCACATCTCTTGTCATCCCAAACTCGCATCACCTCATCCCATCTCACATTCCCATCACCTCATCCCATCTCACACTCCCATCACCTCATACCATTTCACACTCCCAGCCCCTCATCCCATCTCACACTCCCAGCCCCTCATCCCATCTCACACTCCCATCCCCTCATCCCATCTCACACTCCCATCCCCTTATCCCATCTCACGCTCCCATCCCCTCATCCCATCTCACACTCCCATCCCCTTATCCCATCTCACACTCCCATCCCCTCATCCCATCTCACACTCCCATCCCCTCATCCCATCTCACACTCCCATCCCCTCATCCCATCTCACACTCCCATCACCTCATCCCATCTCACACTCCCATCACCTCATCCCATCTCACACTCCCATCACCTCATCCCATCTCACACTCCCATCACCTCATCCCATCTCACACTCCCATCACCTCATCCCATCTCACACTCCCATCCCCTCATCCCATCTCACACTCCCATCCCCTCATCCCATCTCACACTCCCATCACCTCATCCCATCTCACACTCCCATCACCTCATCCCATCTCACACTCCCATCACCTCATCCCATCTCACACTCCCATCACCTCATCCCATCTCACACTCCCATCCCCTCATCCCATCTCACACTCCCATCAACTCATCCCATCTCACACTCCCATCACCTCATCCCATCTCACACTCCCATCCCCTCATCCCATCTCACACTCCCATCCCCTCATCCCATCTCACACTCCCATCCCCTCATCCCATCTCACACTCCCATCACCTCATCCCATCTCACACTCCCATCACCTCATCCCATCTCACACTCCCATCACCTCATCCCATCTCACACTCCCATCACCTCATCCCATCTCACACTCCCATCCCCTCATCCCATCTCGCACTCCCATCACCTCATCCCATCTCACACTCCCATCCCCTCATCCCATCTCACACTCCCATCAACTCATCCCATCTCACACTCCCATCCCCTCATCCCATCTCACACTCCCATCACCTCATCCCATCCCACACTCCCATCAACTCATCCCATCTCACACTCCCATCACCTCATCCCATCTCACACTCCCATCCCCTCATCCCATCTCACACTCCCATCCCCTCATCCCATCTCACACTCCCATCCCCTCATCCCATCTCACACTCCCATCACCTCATCCCATCTCACACTCCCATCACCTCATCCCATCTCACACTCCCATCACCTCATCCCATCTCACACTCCCATCACCTCATCCCATCTCACACTCCCATCCCCTCATCCCATCTCGCACTCCCATCACCTCATCCCATCTCACACTCCCATCCCCTCATCCCATCTCACACTCCCATCAACTCATCCCATCTCACACTCCCATCCCCTCATCCCATCTCACACTCCCATCACCTCATCCCATCCCACACTCCCATCACCTCATCCCATCTCACACTCCCATCACCTCATCCCATCTCACACTCCCATCACCTCATCCCATCTCACACTCCCATCCCCTCATCCCATCTCACACTCCCATCAACTCATCCCATCTCACACTCCCATCACCTCATCCCATCTCACACTCCCATCACCTAATCCCATCTCACTCTCCCATCCCCTCATCCCATCTCACACTCCCATCACCTCATCCCATCTCACACTCCCATCACCTCATCCCATCTCACACTCCCATCACCTCATCCCATCTCACACTCCCATCACCTCATCCCATCTCACACTCCCATCCCCTCATCCCATCTCACACTCCCATCACCTCATCCCATCTCACACTCCCATCCCCTCATCCCATCTCACACTCCCATCCCCTCATCCCATCTCACACTCCCATCCCCTCATCCCATCTCACACTCCCATCCCCTCATCCCATCTCACACTCCCATCACCTCATCCCATCTCACACTCCCATCACCTCATCCCATCTCACACTCCCATCACCTCATCCCATCTCACACTCCCATCCCCTCATCCCATCTCACACTCCCATCACCTCATCCCATCTCACACTCCCATCACCTCATCCCATCTCACACTCCCATCCCCTCATCCCATCTCACACTCCCATCCCCTCATCCCATCTCACACTCCCATCACCTCATCCCATCTCACACTCCCATCACCTCATCCCATCTCACACTCCCATCACCTAATCCCATCTCACACTCCCATCCCCTCATCCCATCTCACACTCCCATCACCTCATCCCATCTCACACTCCCATCACCTCATCCCATCTCACACTCCCATCACCTCATCCCATCTCACACTCCCATCCCCTCATCCCATCTCACACTCCCATCACCTCATCCCATCTCACACTCCCATCACCTCATCCCATCTCACACTCCCATCACCTCATCCCATCTCACACTCCCATCACCTCATCCCATCTCACACTCCCATCACCTCATCCCATCTCACACTCCCATCACCTCATCCCATCTCACACTCCCATCCCCTCATCCCATCTCACACTCCCATCCCCTCATGCCATCTCACACTCCCATCACCTCATCCCATCTCACACTCCCATCACCTCATCCCATCTCACACTCCCATCACCTCATCCCATCTCACACTCCCATCCCCTCATCCCATCTCACACTCCCATCACCTCATCCCATCTCACACTCCCATCACCTCATCCCATCTCACACTCCCATCACCTCATCCCATCTCACACTCCCATCCCCTCATCCCATCTCACACTCCCATCACCTCATCCCATCTCACACTCCCATCACCTCATCCCATCTCACACTCCCATCACCTCATCCCATCTCACACTCCCATCACCTCATCCCATCTCACACTCCCATCCCCTCATCCCATCTCACACTCCCATCCCCTCATCCCATCTCACACTCCCATCACCTCATCCCATCTCACACTCCCATCCCCTCATCCCATCTCACACTCCCATCCCCTCATCCCATCTCACACTCCCATCCCCTCATCCCATCTCACACTCCCATCACCTCATCCCATCTCACACTCCCATCACCTCATCCCATCTCACACTCCCATCACCTCATCCCATCTCACACTCCCATCACCTAATCCCATCTCACACTCCCATCCCCTCATCCCATCTCACACTCCCATCACCTCATCCCATCTCACACTCCCATCACCTCATCCCATCTCACACTCCCATCACCTCATCCCATCTCACACTCCCATCCCCTCATCCCATCTCACACTCCCATCACCTCATCCCATCTCACACTCCCATCCCCTCATCCCATCTCACACTCCCATCAACTCATCCCATCTCACACTCCCATCCCCTCATCCCATCTCACACTCCCATCCCCTCATCCCATCTCACACTCCCATCACCTCATCCCATCTCACACTCCCATCCCCTCATCCCATCTCACACTCCCATCCCCTCATCCCATCTCACACTCCCATCCCCTCATCCCATCTCACACTCCCATCACCTCATCCCATCTCACACTCCCATCACCTCATCCCATCTCACACTCCCATCACCTCATCCCATCTCACACTCCCATCACCTAATCCCATCTCACACTCCCATCCCCTCATCCCATCTCACACTCCCATCACCTCATCCCATCTCACACTCCCATCACCTCATCCCATCTCACACTCCCATCACCTCATCCCATCTCACACTCCCATCCCCTCATCCCATCTCACACTCCCATCACCTCATCCCATCTCACACTCCCATCCCCTCATCCCATCTCACACTCCCATCAACTCATCCCATCTCACACTCCCATCCCCTCATCCCATCTCACACTCCCATCCCCTCATCCCATCTCACACTCCCATCACCTCATCCCATCCCACACTCCCATCACCTCATCCCATCTCACACTCCCATCACCTCATCCCATCTCACACTCCCACACTCCCATCCCCTCATCCCATCTCACACTCCCATCCCCTCATCCCATCTCACACTCCCATCACCTCATCCCATCTCACACTCCCATCACCTCATCCCATCTCACACTCCCATCACCTCATCCCATCTCACACTCCCATCACCTCATCCCATCTCACACTCCCATCACCTCATCCCATCTCACACTCCCATCACCTCATCCCATCTCACACTCCCATCCCCTCATCCCATCTCACACTCCCATCACCTAATCCCATCTCACACTCCCATCCCCTCATCCCATCTCACACTCCCATCACCTCATCCCATCTCACACTCCCATCACCTCATCCCATCTCACACTCCCATCACCTCATCCCATCTCACACTCCCATCACCTCATCCCATCTCACACTCCCATCCCCTCATCCCATCTCACACTCCCATCACCTCATCCCATCTCACACTCCCATCACCTCATCCCATCTCACACTCCCATCACCTCATCCCATCTCACACTCCCATCCCCTCATCCCATCTCACACTCCCATCCCCTCATCCCATCTCACACTCCCATCACCTCATCCCATCTCACACTCCCATCACCTCATCCCATCTCACACTCCCATCACCTCATCCCATCTCACACTCCCATCCCCTCATCCCATCTCACACTCCCATCCCCTCATCCCATCTCACACTCCCATCACCTCATCCCATCTCACACTCCCATCACCTCATCCCATCTCACACTCCCATCACCTCATCCCATCTCACACTCCCATCCCCTCATCCCATCTCACACTCCCATCCCCTCATCCCATCTCACACTCCCATCACCTCATCCCATCTCACACTCCCATCACCTCATCCCATCTCACACTCCCATCACCTCGTCCCATCTCACACTCCCATCCCCTCATCCCATCTCACACTCCCATCCCCTCATCCCATCTCACACTCCCATCCCCTCATCCCATCTCACACTCCCATCCCCTCATCCCATCTCACACTCCCATCACCTCATCCCATCTCACACTCCCATCACCTCATCCCATCTCACACTCCCATCACCTCATCCCATCTCACACTCCCATCCCCTCATCCCATCTCACACTCCCATCAACTCATCCCATCTCACACTCCCATCACCTCATCCCATCTCACACTCCCATCACCTCATCCCATCTCACACTCCCATCCCCTCATCCCATCTCACACTCCCATCCCCTCATCCCATCTCACACTCCCATCACCTCATCCCATCTCACACTCCCATCACCTCATCCCATCTCACACTCCCATCACCTCATCCCATCTCACACTCCCATCACCTCATCCCATCTCACACTCCCATCCCCTCATCCCATCTCACACTCCCATCCCCTCATCCCATCTCACACTCCCATCACCTCATCCCATCTCACACTCCCATCACCTCATCCCATCTCACACTCCCATCCCCTCATCCCATCTCACACTCCCATCCCCTCATCCCATCTCACACTCCCATCACCTCATCCCATCTCACACTCCCATCACCTCATCCCATCTCACACTCCCATCACCTCATCCCATCTCACACTCCCATCCCCTCATCCCATCTCACACTCCCATCCCCTCATCCCATCTCACACTCCCATCCCCTCATCCCATCTCACACTCCCATCACCTCATCCCATCTCACACTCCCATCACCTCATCCCATCTCACACTCCCATCACCTCATCCCATCTCACACTCCCATCACCTCATCCCATCTCACACTCCCATCACCTCGTCCCATCTCACACTCCCATCACCTCATCCCATCTCACACTCCCATCCCCTCATCCCATCTCACACTCCCATCACCTCATCCCATCTCACACTCCCATCCCCTCATCCCATCTCACACTCCCATCAACTCATCCCATCTCACACTCCCATCCCCTCATCCCATCTCACACTCCCATCCCCTCATCCCATCTCACACTCCCATCACCTCATCCCATCCCACACTCCCATCACCTCATCCCATCTCACACTCCCATCACCTCATCCCATCTCACACTCCCATCACCTCATCCCATCTCACACTCCCATCCCCTCATCCCATCTCACACTCCCATCCCCTCATCCCATCTCACACTCCCATCACCTCATCCCATCTCACACTCCCATCACCTCATCCCATCTCACACTCCCATCACCTCATCCCATCTCACACTCCCATCACCTCATCCCATCTCACACTCCCATCACCTCATCCCATCTCACACTCCCATCCCCTCATCCCATCTCACACTCCCATCACCTCATCCCATCTCACACTCCCATCCCCTCATCCCATCTCACACTCCCATCACCTCATCCCATCTCACACTCCCATCACCTCATCCCATCTCACACTCCCATCCCCTCATCCCATCTCACACTCCCATCAACTCATCCCATCTCACACTCCCATCACCTCATCCCATCTCACACTCCCATCACCTCATCCCATCTCACACTCCCATCACCTCATCCCATCTCACACTCCCATCACCTCATCCCATCTCACACTCCCATCACCTCATCCCATCTCACACTCCCATCCCCTCATCCCATCTCACACTCCCATCACCTCATCCCATCTCACACTCCCATCCCCTCATCCCATCTCACACTCCCATCACCTCATCCCATCTCACACTCCCATCACCTCATCCCATCTCACACTCCCATCCCCTCATCCCATCTCACACTCCCATCAACTCATCCCATCTCACACTCCCATCACCTCATCCCATCTCACACTCCCATCACCTCATCCCATCTCACACTCCCATCCCCTCATCCCATCTCACACTCCCATCCCCTCATCCCATCTCACACTCCCATCACCTCATCCCATCTCACACTCCCATCACCTCATCCCATCTCACACTCCCATCACCTCATCCCAGACTGCATGAGCACAGCCATCAAGCTGGCTGGATAATGGATAATTGGGGGAGTTAACAAGAGAATTGGAAATGGAAAGCTGACTGGAAAAACAAGCACCGGGATGGGAAAATGATGTAAAAAATGGCAGGGAAAACGGCAAACAGAATTGGATTGGAGATATGGCCACATCTTTCAGCCTCACAACGCCACCCCCCTCCTTTCTGCTTAATTCCTTCTCGTTTCCTTTTAGCCCCACCCTGACGATAGTGGGTGGGAACATGGCATGGAACATGGCATGGGAACATGGCATGGGAACATGGCATGGGAACATGGCATGGGAACATGGCACGGGAACATGGGAAGGGAACATGGCACGGGAACATGGCATGCATAGGAACATGGTATGGGAACATGGTATGGGAACATGGTATGGGAACATGGTATGGGAACATGGTATGGGAACATGGTATGGGAACATGGTATGTGAACATGGTATGTGAACATGGTATGGGAACATGGTATGGGAATATGGTATGGGAACATGGTATGGGAACATGGTATGGGAACATGGTATGGGAACATGGTATGGGGACATGGTGTATCTATTGACTCCATCACAATCTCATGGCCGCTCCTGCTTTCATTCTCATGGCCATAAAATGATTCATTCCGCATTCATTTCATACTCTGTTGCCATCCCAATCATTTTGGTCAAGCTCTGACATTGGCCTAGTTGATACTTCACTCATTCCAATGACAAGGGAATATCGCATCTCATTGCTTCATAGTTTTCAGAGCCTTTTCATTAACATTTCTGCGACTGTGTTCAACCTGACCATTTATGTTCATTCTTTGTCACTGTGGCCTGACATTGAATTGTTCTAGAATATTGCTCCATTTCCTGACCATCGAAATTCAATTCTGAGATAGGTTTTTGTACGAGTTCACCATTTTTGGTTCAAATTCATCAGATAGCATGAGTCCTATCAGAACATGAAACATGGGCAGCCTAACTCAAGACTCTCTGTTTTCACACTCATTCCTTCATTCCATGCACTCCATTCACCCCCATCCAGACCAGAGCATAAAAAGAAGATGCATATATTGAGATTTCCAGAATATACATGGTTACTAAGTCTACAGTGGCACCCCTCCTACCAGTCCCTTCTCTCCATCCACCAGTCATTCCCATCATTCCCACAACATCCTGCCAGGCAGGATGGAAAAAAGGGGGTGAACCCCTACCACCAGCATTCTACATCACCCTCACCAGCTTTACCTTACTTGCCATTGTGTTACTTATTCAAGGCTATGCTTGACCAAGCACTACTCACCCACCTCCTCATCCGCCTCGTCACTCTAGCCTTCCCATTTGGTGCCTTATTTGCTGTTGTCCCTTCCATTCTTACCTTTGCTGCATCATCATTATCAGAACCTGGCATTTGCCTTGAAATTTTGTCAGAGTTCTTAGCAGCAGCTGCAGCAGTAGTAACGTCAACAGGGACAACAGCAGCTGAAGCCTTTCTGAGGTTGGAAAGACCAATCTTTTTTTCTGAGGTCTGGCATTTGTTGGAGCTTTTTTTCACTGAATCTTTTGTGCTGGTTTTTACAGCAGGAGTTCGCACAGATGCGCAGCTCGTGCTGTTTGCACTGCTGGAGCTGAAGGTGCAGACCATCACGCTGCTGTTGCTCTTGTTAACATCATTCTTACTGGCAGCAGTTTTTTCAACCATAATCCAAGGCGATTTCTTGCCTGTGGAAGCGAGAAACTCGTCCTTTGATAGGAAGGACACGTTTCCTTCATTGCTGCAGGCGCTTTCAGGGTTAAGATACCGTTGACGGAATTCCAGCAGATCCAACTCGGTCATATACGAGAATTCGTCTTCAGAATCCTCGGAAATTCGTGCCTTTTTGGCACTTGGAGCAGCAGCAGCAGCAGCAGGCGTGGATCGTTTGCGTGCTGCATCGCTCCAGCTGGGAGAGGCGGAAGCGGAGGCAGCAGGAAGGTAGTGGCTTTTCAGTCCTGCTGGAACGCATCCGTGGTCCTCTTCCCAGTAGAAGAGGTCGTCGGTGTCAGCCTTGCTGCACGAAGCGAGGGTTTTCACGGCCATCAGGCAGTCACGTGGAAAGAGAACCTCGAGGCTTGAGCAAGGGGGTAGCAACGAGCTTGTGAGTACAGAACGATGTGATTCAACTGAAATGGTGTTGCTGTCAGACGGGGATTTCTACTCGTGACTAAAAGAGCAATGTCTGACAGGATGGTGATGAGCGATCCGTTATTGACGAGCCGCTTTAGTTGACTGTGGTAGCCAGACGAGGGAATTCCGTTGGCAACGGGAGTGTCAGGTATGGTGCCGAGGCTCGGGTAGCGCTGTTCGTTCGGCAAAACCATTGGCATGATAGTTTGCGAAATTCCCTCGACGCTCTACAGTAGACGACGTGTCTATCGTGAGAGCAAGCCACGCTGGTCAAGTCGGGCCCACCAAAGTTCTAGGTCTCTCAAGCATGTGGGTAAGACAGGCACACCTGGACTTAGCTACTCCACGTCATCATGGGTGCGGATCAGTCCCATGATAGCGCCCTGCCAGCGTGGGTTGTCACGGCGCTTTCCCACCCTGACCTGCGCTTTCTAATCGCGACGACGACTATCAAGGGCTTGCTAGTCCCACCGTCAGGTCTTGAGACTGGAGCTGTAGCGACGCGACAAGGTCGAGGGCTTGGCGGAATGGTGAAAGGCGGGAACAATTTGGAAGTTCAGAAATCGTTTCCCTACATTACAATCAAGCGAATTCTTGTTTTGAATTCTACTTTGCCTTATGAATATAGGTTCTGGCCTTACAATAATCTTTCAATCAATATCATTTATTGATTTTCCCTTTTAGCGTTTTGTCTCATGCCATATCAACATCAACATGGTAGCATGGGTCTCTGGACTTACTGTACATTAATATGCAGCTACCGTAATACCCCGGATATAAGACCCGGGGGTATTATAAGAATCCCACCCCAAAAATGAGGGGGGGTCTTAACAGTTGGCTACATTTTATAAGACCCGGGTCTTATCATAAGGTCAAGTATACTTCTTGTGTTTTGGAAGTCATACATGTCAACACTATGTGCTTCGTTTTTAGCCTCAAAGGGAATGCGCGCAATGAAATTCGTGTTTAGCATACAAAATTATTACACGAAATTGACATGATGATGCGTATATGTGCTTTTGTGACTGGCTATACCCCTCATTAATGAAAATTTTATGGGATATGGTGCGGAAAGGGGCAGAAAAGCTATCAGAATTGCATTCATTGCCAATAAAACGACCAATTCTCTAGGGGGAGGAGGGTCTTATAATGTTAGCCCCCATTTAGGGGGGTATAACAAAAACAACCCATTTAGCGTACCCCCCTCCGTATTATAGACCCGGGGGTCTACAACTGGAGGGGGTCTTATATCCGGGGTATTACGGTACCGTATCACCCCGGATATAAGCGCATGCCTATGTTAAGTGCATGCGCTTATATCTGGAGCAATGCGCTTATGGCCGATCCTCAATTATAAGCGCACCCCTTATTAAACCCTGATTTATTATAAGCGCATGTATAAACATATTTAATAAAAAACGGATTAAAACAGTAACGACTTCACGTTTTGCAGCGAGTCCACATCCACTTCTACTCTGTTCGACTCCCTCGAGGGCGGGCTCGCTCAGGAAAAGCGCAACGGCGCGAAGTTGACCTGACAGGGGGGCTCGGGAACAACTGTTGTCTGTGCGCTGCGAGCGAGCGACTGCAGGCCATTGGTCGTACACTGGGGCAAGCCTGTACGATGCGAACGAGCGACTGCAAGCTATTGGTTCGTACCCTGGGCTGGGGCGAGCATGACACATTCCTATGCGAAAGTGACGTGTCCTTGCCCTTGTGCGCCGGCAGAGAATCGCCCTTGCGCGATTCTGATTCAGAACGCTCCACACATTTCGATTTGAATGAGATTGCAAGACTCAGATGCACAGTTTGGTGTGTTTATAACATATTTTTGTGTTTTTCATTACATAAGCGCATGCGCTTATAATTATGACTCATTTATAAGCGCACCCCCCTAAAAAACAGTGTTTTATTATAAGCGCAGATGCGCTTATATCCGGGGTATTACGGTAGATATACTAGTGCTGCCACACAGGCATAGCGGAACGGAACAAGCCAGACGAACAAGCCATTCCATGTTATCCCAACCCCACCAACCTCCATCCTAGCCCCCAACATGACTACACGCTTACGTTCTAGTTGAGTCACATTCCATGTCCCTGCTGCCCACTCACAGCCAGACTGCCACACCGGGAAGTGCGGTGGGGTAGGCCATAGGGGCATGTCACATGCTGGGAGGAAGCATACCCAGCGAAGCGACACTTGGGACAGTCTCGCAGAACGGCAAGAGGCAGGGGGCATTGTACGTTGATGGGGGAGAGTGGGGTTCACAACTTTTAAGATGGCCTGCATTGCTGTACAGTGGAGCACACGGGCAGGCACGCAGAGGCACGGGAAGGGTAAGGCTGCTCTGGTGCTGCAATAGGGATGGCGGGACTTGGGTGATGCTGCTACAGGGAGGCAACCACGAGGAGGGGGCAGAGAGGGCAGAAAGGCCAATTGAAGCTTCAGAAGTGAGGCGCGTGTATGGGAAGATGGTAGAACCTCCAACCCTCCACCCATCCCATGATGCAAACCTTCCACCCATTCCGCACCCCTTCTCCTCTCCACCCATCCCGCACCCCTTTTCCTCTCCCATCCCACCCCTTGCGTCAGCAACAAAGGACAGGCATGTGAACCCCCTCCCTCCACCCATCCCGGACCCCTTTTCCCCTCTCTTGCACAACAGCGCAATGTTCAGGAGAGCTGAGCTCTCTCTTTTCACACAACCCCCTCTACCCCTGCCCGGTGCTATCGAGTCGACTCAATCCCCTGCCCTGACACAATGATAGAGCATGCACAGGGTGGGCATGATATGGCCCACCATTTCTTCCTGCCCCGTCAGAGGGACTGAGATTGCGCATGCCATGCATCGTGCACATTGCAACTGCTTCCCCTCCTCGCCCCTCCCCTCCTCGCCCCTCCCATCCTCACCCCTCCCCTCTCCTCCTGCATGGCTTGTCTGCCATCGGTCCTGCTTCCTCGCCCACACTCACATTCAACCGAGTCAACGCCGGTCAACGGGACTTCCCTGCCATCCACTCACTGCCCTCCCCTCGCCTCGTCCGCCGCTGCCACCACTGCCTGCCGGCGCTGCTTCCTCACCACCGAAACGGCCTGACAGCCATGTGAGTGAAGGAAGCGGGGGGGGGAGGGGGGGAGTTTGGTGGTGGAGACATGCATGTGAGTGTAGAGGGGGAGGAGGGGAGGGGGAAGAGACAGGCATGCGCGGGCAACAGACGGCAATCTCAAGGGCGCCTTGCTTCTCACCATGAGCGGAGCGAACATTGCAGCAGCACTGCCATGGCATGTGCTGCCTATGAGTGCTACCACTGCCGCCTGTGCTGCCAGCACAGCACGACTGTCAGCAACCCCTCTTGCGCCCAATCCCACTTCGCTGCTCATCCCCCCCCCCTTGCCCATCCCCCCTTGCGCCCATTCCCCCGTGATTGCCTGCGGTCAATCGAGGCTGCTTGTAGTGAGACGGCTCGCAGATCCGCGCTCCAACTCCGCCCGCGCATGTTCTCACCCCCCCTCTCCGCGCTGCCCTGCAGCTTCCCCCGCGCTCGCGCAAACCCGCGCTGCTGCGGCATCAGGCGAAGGTGGACGGGAGGAGCGGCGCATGTAACATGCGGAAAGAAGCCGCTCGCCTCGCGGAGAGCGTGGGGGTGCGCGGACAAGCGAAGAGAGATGGGAGGCGCCACGAGACGGACGGGGACGAGCGAGAGAAGGGCTGCTCTCCATCCTATTCATTTCATGGATCCCTTTGGTATGCGAAATCAGATTCGCACATGGAACGCCGAGAGGTGTTTGGAAAGGGGATGCGCGTCTAACTGCGGGCGCACGTCCTATAGTGCGGCGCGTGCTTCACGAGGTGCGCTCGACGTGTCGAAACGCCCCCGGAAAGCGACGGGTCCTCGCGCGAACACCTCACTTGATCGCGCCAGCGGAACGCCGCCCCTCAACCCTCCTTCCTCCATAACCGCGCGCTAAGCCCGATTCCCCGCGTGGGCGCATCGCTGCTGCCACTGCTGCGCTCTTCGCGTCGCCCTCATCGCGCTATCCGTTTCCCGCTCGCTGCTCCGCCGAGTCGGCGAAGCGCTGAGCGGCGGAGGTGTGGCGAAACTGCGGGGTGGTGTGGCGAACTCCAAGCTGCGAACTGCGTTCGATTGGCCGCTGGTTGAGTTGACGGTCAAAGGGCTGGCTGCTGTGAGTGCCGAGGAGGTGCGCGCTCGAGATTGGGTACGGTACAATGCGGTTGCTAAAAATGCTCACGGATGCCCAACAAGAAAGTTGTATAATTTCTGATATTAACATAATTGCTGTTTTAGAAATTAGACCAGCACAGCACATCATCCAGCTTCCTTGCTCCTGTATGTTGGGCTGAGAAATAGCCCTTAGGATATTTGCAGGGGTGAACTCTGGGTAAAACTGATGTAGTAGCGGAAGCGTTTTAATGAAGAGTTATGAACCACCTTGCGCTAGTATGTGAGGGCAAAGTTGATTGATTAAAGCAAAGAGATACAAGATTATATAGGAGTACAGGAAATATGAAGAGATACAGTTATAACTACTTTACTGTTGCTGTTGCGGTTCGATACAGTGACGACTCGGGCAACTGCTCTGTAACGAGTCAGTTGTGTGTCCTTGCTGTCGCGCTGTACTTGTCAGGTCAAAGGTCGCTGACCTTTGAATTTCGCGTAACCTCCGACAGTTACTTCAACCTCCGAGGGTTGACTCGCCAGTGCTTCGATATGCTTCGCTTCGCTTCTGACTTGGTGTTTCGACATGACAGAGGCGCTTAGAGTTAATTGTTTCCAACACTCCCCTTCGCTGCTGGTGACGTGGCTCTGTCCAGTCAGCAGCATGCAGTACTCGAACTTCTGCTTTCCGAGCTTCTTGGTCAAGTAGTCAGCTGCCATCTCGGACGTGGGGCTGTATGACAGTTCGAGTCTCCCCTTCTCGATCTCGTCCTTCACGAAGAAGTATCGTAGGGCGATGTGTTTCGTCCTGTTCGCGAAGCCGTTCTTGTTGGCTATGCGAATGGCCAACTGGTTGTCGCAGAACAGGGTAAAGTTTGGTAACTGGGCTAGCTTGGCTTCCTCCAGGAGTTCGCGAAGGTACAATCATTCCTTGGTGGCTGAGCAGAGTGCGATATATTCTGCTTCAGCCGAAGAGAGGGCGATTAATTCCTGCTTGCTTGACTGCCAGGAGATAGGTCCGATAGGCTCGAGGCGATAGATGTAGCCAGTGCGCGAGCGTCTGTTGTCGGAGTCGCCGGCGTGATCGGCGTCAACGTAGCCGATTAGTTTAGGCGCTGTGGTCCCGTTCTTGTGATAGGTCAGGCCGATCGTCGGAGTGCTGATGAGGTATGTCAGAATCCCAACCACTAGACCATTGGGATAAAAGGGCTTGTTTCAGTAGCGGGTCAGTGCGCCCATAACCCCCCAGGCGAACGCGCCTGTAACCCTCTCTAGGATCAATCGGGCATCCACAGTGCAGATCTACTGACACCCCCCCAAACTGGGAGGCCCAGGACTAAGCACAGCGGCAACGGCCTACATGTGCATACACCGGGAATCGAACTCGAGACCGCTCTGATACCATGTCAGAATCCCAACCACTAGACCATTGGGATAAAAGGGCTTGTTTCAGTAGCGGGTCAGTGCGCCCATAACCCCCCAGGCGAACGCGCCTGTAACCCTCTCCAGGATCAATCAGGCATCCACAGTGCAGATCTACTGACAAGGTAGTGAGAGCGCAGTCGAGCTCCGCCAGATGTTCCGCTTCAGGTTTCTTGAGGTAGGTGGCGAGCTGGCTTGCAGAGTACGATAGGTCCGGGCGGCAGGTGACAGCTGCGAAGAGGAGGCATCCTAGCTTCCTCTGGTAGTCGCGTATGTCGGCGGGCTTGAGTAGAGCGGAGCCTTCCTTGTGGTTTCCTGCCGTGTAGCGGTATGGATGGCGTGGAGATGGTAGTTGGTGTGAGAGCGAAGCGTTTGGCGATGGTGTCGGCGTACTTTGCAGCGCTAAGGTAGATCGCGTCCTCCTCTTCCCGTATGTTGAGGCCGAGGTATTGCGTGACGGTCGATGATACTGTGAGAGTGAGATCCTGTTGCAGCTCCCCTTCAAACCTGTCAAACATTATATATGTGTTATTGCTGTGTAGGCTATAGTGGGTTAGCCTTTAAGGGGTACACAACTCTAGGGTTTCATACTTGTACTCCAATGTTTCATGATTCAATCACTTCTTGTTTCTGACATGGTATTAAGAGCTTAGGTTCTAGACCTAAGGGCCCACCGTTCCGCTAGAGGTGCCCTCGTGCGCCCTTTTTTTTAGCGCCCTCGTGCGCCTCTCCCCTAGTGCGCCCTCGTGCGCTCTCCTCTCATGCTGCCCGTGTGCAGCCCGCTAGCAGCCCGAGCGCGGCCCCGTCGTTTTAGCGCGAGTAGGAAAACCGCCGCCTAGGGCGGCCCGATTTTTCCTCGCGGGCCCCAGCAGGCCGTCGCCCGTAGGCCCCGCTCGCCCCTAGGCCGACGCGCGACCCTCAGCCGCCCGCCTGCAGGTCGCAGCCAGCGCGCCCAGAGCGTCGCAGCCCCGCCCGTAGGCCGCCGCGACGCTCCTCTAGGCCGTCGCCCGCACGCTAGTCAGGCCCACGCACAGCCGCGGCCCGCCCGCTACAGCCGCCCACGCGCACGCCCCTCGTCGCGCACTGCCGCGTAGCCCAGCCCGAGCCGAGCTGAGCCGCGCCGCCCGAACCGAGCCGCGCCGCTCGAACCGAGCCGCGCCGCCCGAACCGAGCCGCGCCGCCCGACCTGAGCCGCGCCGCCCTACTGTGCCCCACCTGCAGCAACTCCTGTTCCTGTTCCTGTCGTACTACTGCTTCAACTGCTACTGCTACTACTGCTACTATTCCTACTGCTACTGCTGCCACTATGGCCACTCCCTCTATTCTCACCTTTGACGCTGAGGGCCGCCCGATTAAGTTTGAAGTTTGGTTAGATGACCTCCATCTGTTCCTACAGATCACTGCCAAGGACGATGTCTCCCTGTATGACCACACGTCAGGCGCTGCTCCCGCACCTCCCGCTACTGCTGACAGTACTGCTCGCTCCCAGTGGCAGACCCGTGATGCTCACGCCCGCCTAGCCGTTCGCAGCCACCTGCCGTTAGATGAGCGCGAGCACTTCGGCCAGCATAAGACCGCTAAGGAACTGTACAACGCAGTAGTCGCGCGCTACTCCTCCCCTGCCACTACTGCTATAGGCCGTCTCTCACTGCCCTACCTCTTCCCCGACCTGTCCGCCTTTGCCACTGTAGCTGACCTCATCACCCACCTCCGTACCAGTGACCTCCGCAACCGTGCCGCGCTCCCCCCAGATTTCCTCGCCAAGAACCCCCCCCCGATGTACCTCACACTGTACCACCTTGTCACCCGCCTCCCTGACTCCCTTCGCACTGTCAGGGACCAGTTTCTCGCCCTCTCCTCCACTGACCTCACTGTCGACCTCCTCGAGAAGGAACTCCTAGCAGCTGAGAAGAGCATTGTAGCTGTAGGTGCCTCTCGTGGTGACCCCCGCACCCCCTTCTTTGAGGGGTGCTCCCCCTCCCCCCTCCTCCCCTCCATTGCATCTGCTGCTGCTGTCGACTTCCTCGGAGCTGAGGGGGTCGGGGCCGCGTCTGCTCCTAGTGGGAGGCGCAAGGGCGGCAGGGGCAAGGGGGGCAGGGGTGGTGGAGGTGAAGGCGGGGGCGGCGGCGGTGGAGGGGGTGGGGGGGGCGGGGGTGGTGGCGGAGGTGGGAGTGGCGCGGGTAGTGGGGGGGTCAGTGGCGGCACAGGGGGCAGTGGCGGCGGAGGTGGTGGGGGCGGTGGTGGCAGTGGTGGCGGCGGTGGAGCGGGTGGCGGGCGCGGTGGAGCGGTGCAACGTGGGGGGTTCGGCGGTGGCCAGAGGCAGCAGCAGCAGCGTCCCGGCGAGACTCCCTCGCCCCAGCAGCTCCGTGAGTGGTACTCTCAGTGTGGGGGGTCTAGGGGTGTAGGTACCTGCCCGTACGTCATCCGCACAGGTGACCGCACTGGCCAGACTTGTGGGAAGTTTCACACGGCGCAGCGCTGTTTCTTTCGCCTCGATGACGCCTGGCGCGAGCAGTTCCCTGACGCCTCTGAGCTGCCCCGCTGGGCTGATCTGCTTAAGAAGGGAATTGATATCTTTGCTCTTGATTATGATGCTATCCTTGCTGCTATGTATGCATTGACTATTAGTGTTGAGGGTGACTGTTACCTGAGTGTACCGCCCGACCCAGGTATTGGGACCGGTGAGGCTGCAGCTCTAGGTGCTAGTGCGTCTGCTGCTCCAGGTCCTGGTGAGGCTGCTGCCCTAGGTGCTAGTGAGTCTGTGTCTGCTGGTACCGCACCTACTGAGGCACTGCACACCTTCACACTGGACTCAGGTGCTTCCCGCTGTTTCTTTCGCGACCGCACTGCCCTAGAGCAGCTCCCTAGACCGGTTGCTGTCTCCCTGGCTGACCCCTCAGGGGGTCCGGTCCTTGCGACCTCCACCACTGCCCTCCCTTGTCCTGCTGTCCCGTCTGGCACGCTGTCGGGCCTCTAACTCCCCTCGTTCTCTACGAACTTGGTG